CGGCCAAGATGAAAAGGACATGGCTTTTCGCATAAAAATCCAGTCTGGGTGCCTGGGTGGCACAGTCAGTGAAGTGTCTGACTTCAGCTCAGGTCGTGAACAGTGGGATGGAGCCCCACTGTTGGGCTCTGCACTCAGTGGGGAGTCTGCTTCTCCCTCTGTCCCTCCCCCCTCCTCACTTGCGCTCATGCACACACATGCGCTCTCTCTCTCGCTCAAATAAATAAAAAAATCTTTAAAAGAAAATCCAGTCTGACACATAGTAGGTGCTCAGAACTTGTGGAATAGGTGGAGGAGGGACGGAGTGAGCAAGCTCACAACCAAGGGCAGTGTTAGATATCTAAGAAATACAGCTCTGGCCGCTAATGGGAGGCACGTAATTTTAAATTTTCTAGCAGGCACACTTAAAAGGGTTAAAAAAAAAAAAAAGAATCAGGTAAAGTGAATTTTAGTATATTTAATTTCACCGAACCTAGAAAATATTTTCATTTCTACAAGCAAGGAGTACTAAAACATCACTAATGAAATATTTTACCTTTTTTGGTACTACTTTGAAATCTAGTGTGCATTTTACATTCACAGTACATCTAGATGTACAGTTCAACTTTTTTTTTTTTTTTTTAAGATTTTATTTATTTGCGAGAGAGAGAATGAGAGACAGAGAGCATGAGAGGGAGGAGGGTCAGAGGGAGAGGCAGACTCCCTGCTGAGCAGGGAGCCCGATGCGGGACTCGATCCCGGGACTCCAGGATCATGACCTGAGCCGAAGGCAGTCGCTTAACCAACTGAGCCACCCAGGCGCCCATAGATGTACAGTTCAGATTAGCACATTTCAAGAGCTCATTAGCCCCGTGTAAGTGGTGACTCCCCTAGAGAAGAACGCACGGGACAGAGTATTTCCATCATGGCAGAAAGTTCTACTTGGGCAACATACCTCCCAACAGAGGGAGGCAGTAAGTACATGGTGGGGATGAGCAGGCATGCTGAGGGCAGGTCATAGAGATGGACAGACTATGGAAGGCCTCGCTTGCCATGCCGAAGAGTACAATCTTTATTCGCTGGACGGCAAGGAGTAAGATGGTGATAGGACAAAAAAAAAAAAAAAAGTCAGTGGTGATCAATGGTTTAAAAAACACAGATTCACAGGCTAGAATCAATCCATGATGAATACTCTTCCAATTCAAGATAAAATATTAATAACAGGGAAAATTTAGTATGTTTTTCATAAAACTAAATTTATTCAGTGCAATGAGTGGCTCTTTATTCAGAGATTATATGCCTTGGAGGTGGCAGGGGAGGGGGGCATTAAATGTGCTTTTCTGAGATGGTAGTAACCACAGACTGTCACTATGCTTTCAAAATGCCCTTGCTGGTCAAATTTTAATAGTTGCAACATCATGCTGCTCCCAAAATTCTACTTCTAAATTTTAGTTTGCAAGTAAAATCCAAAATTCTGGAACCACCAAGTTTTAAACAATTCCTGGACTTTATTAAGAGGGACATAGGGTCCAATGTGCACATATTATTCCGTATCCTGATTTTCTTATTTCCCACACAATTCATGTAGTCATAATGCTGACATGTGACTTTTTTTTGCTCCACACCCAATGTGGGGCTTGAACTCAGGACCCAGATCAAGAGTCACATGCTCTACCGACTGAGCCAGCCAGGCGCCCCTCTTACACATGACTTTTATCTTAAGCTGCTACACAGTAATTCAGTATCTGATGTGAATTATTGTTTGTTTAGTTATTTCTGTGATGTTTTGTGTTGAATCTATTGCTTTATTAGTATGAATAGCTTTACCCAAATTAACTGTCTTCCTCCAACCCCAATTCCACGGACTAGTTCCTCAGAATATAGTTCTCAACAGGGAATTTATGGGTAAATGGCAATGAACAGCTTTGTGTTTAATTCTTATTATAGATCACCAGGCTGTAGCAAAAAGACAATATGCAGCAAGACCAGTATTTCTTAACACCCTCCTATAATGGGCCATAATTATTTCTGATAATGTGATAGAAAAAGTAGCCCTAATTTTCATTTCTTGAATTGCTAACAAGGATAGGCCTGTTGTTTCAAATTCCCTATATTCATCTCTCCTAACCACTTCTAGTGAGGACTTTGGGTACTGACCTTTGAGATCTCAATTCTTTATATTTTGGGTGATAACCATTTAATCTTTAAAGCTGTCCCATTATCTTCACCCACGCTATGGAATTTCATTTAATATTTGTTCTATTGCCTCTGGCCGGGCTATTTTTCTTTCCCCCCTCCCCCTTCAGATATTCAGGTACATCTGTCTTGTGTATAACAATTTTCCTCATTGCTTCAGTGGTCCTAAGTTTATCTTCCCTATACAGCTGGGTTAAAAATGCTATTCCATTTTCCTCTAGTTATTTTATAGATAAATACAGTGGAATCCAAAGCCAAGGCCTTTATACTCTGAAATTAATATACTTTTAAAACTGCAGAACTTCCTGGTATGAGTGAAATTTTCTCAGATTGTTCCCAAGGTGGATCTGTCCCCATCGTAAAATGACAGATGTCATCAAACAGCTAGCATTCTCCAATCAGGAGTGAAGCTGGACAAGATATCTGAGAATCTGAACTTTTAACTCTTCCCTCAGAGGTGTTCAGCGCCCCACAATTCTCTCAACTGTCAATGTTGATACTTACGTCTAAACAAGCTCACTTAAAATTAGATTTCAGCAAGAAAGATTATCAGTAGACAAAAGCAACAGCCTGAAGAAATAAACGATTGCCCAGGAATATAAAAATCAAATCACTATATACCTATGGAGGCATCTTACCTATTTTCCATATAATGAAATTTCTCGGGGAAATTTCAAATAATTGCCCCTCATGGGTGGAAAATGGAGAGAAAACAAGAGGATAAAGAAAAAAGAGCATTTGTGTAATTGTTGACAAAATTTAGATCATACTATGTAAGTTTTACTTATCTATACATGTGACATACACAAAAAATAACCCAGAAGTCAATTCACTGAAAGCTTACATATTGTTATCTGAAAGGAGGTAGGATTATGGGTACTTCTGATTTTCTTCTTTTGACTTCTTATGCAATATATACTTCATTATATACTTTACATAATTATTTTTATATGCATATGCTTCAAGAACATACTTCTATTTTAAAAACTTCTTAAAAATGGAGGAAGAAAAGATCTGGGCATTAAATTGCATCATGTGCTACTGAAAATTAAGCTAAGTCACCTCAACTTTTATTGAGGTCACAGCTCATTCAATGCAAGCACCTCCACTTTTTTTCATATACTCCAGGCTTCCTAGCACCACTTGTGAGAGTAAGTCTATCAGAGATTCATTATCATAGAAGAGAATTCTCAAAATACCAGGAACTTTCAACCTGCCTTTTTTCTTTTTTTCTTCTTTTTAAGGTGGTCATCTCTAACATACTTGCAAAAGTATCTGCAGTGAGGTTTACATAAAAGCGACTATGATAGTGTTGTGGTCAAGTTGTTGGGTTTTTTTTAAGTCCTTATTTGTTAGATAAATATGAAAGCATTTACTGGCAATGATAAAATGATATATTTATGATTTCCTTGAAATACTCCAGAAAAAAAAAAAAAAGTGGTAGAGGGAAAACAGATGAACAAGAACAAGAGAAAGTTGGAATTGCTGTTACTGGGTGATGGGAACCATTATTCTGTTCTACTTTGGGTACAAAGTGTTTCTCTAATACAGTTTTTTTTACGATGCTATGAAAACTGAAAAATATATACAAGTGCACAACCATTCCTCATATCATCCAGTGTGTCAAAGTTAAGCTCAGAGCGAAACACCATTAAAAAAAAAAAAAATCAGGGTGACTATATCAAAGGCAGCATTTGACTCTGTATCTTCTCTTTATTAGGCAAGACAGAGTACAGGCATGTGTAAATCTATCAGGAAAAATAGGTCTTTCATATGCATCTACAGATTTGATTCAGAAGATTTCAGATTTTCAGTCCTGGGCCAGAGTCAGACCAAGATAGCAGGCTGACCCAGCACTACTTGGCTCGTGACATTCAGAAAACAAAACAAGATGCGTGCTGGCTTGAGCAACAAGACCCTACGCTAGGAGGTCCATTGTGCTGCTCACCACGAGCCAGGGCCCCGCTGCTTCCCTCAGAGGATGGGCTGGTCCGCCCTCAAGCCAGCTGCAGGGCCAAAGGCCTCAACACAAGGTAGGCACCCAAGACCACTATCATTTATTTCATATAGTCCATTCCCAGGAACAGTTGCAAAAGATGATATGAACACGAAGGAAGTGGGATTCCCAAACTGATGACTTCCCAGTGGGTCAAAAGTAAAAACAAAGCATAGTCCTACATAGGTTCATAAGGCACTCACAGCTGAAAGGCTTTCAAGTGCACAATCACAATGAGCCTCAAATCTCCCTTGAGAGGAGGGGAGGGCCTGGGTTATTTCCAGTCTACAGATGCAGAAACTCCTCCGATTCAAAGCTTGGAAAGACTTGCTTCCAAAGAACAGAGTCTTCTGACTCGAAGGACAGTGCTCCTTCACTCCCCAGCACTCTGCTGAGAGTGCTCTGTGATGGGAAGACCAAGGGAGGCACCTCATGAGTGAGGCAAGGCAGAAAAAGGTCTCACACGTCCTGAGTTTCCAAACCACCTCAATTATTTCCTGGCTACCCATGACCATGTACTGTCTATTCTTTGCCATGACCATGGAGACCGAATGACTCTACCTCTACTTGCACCCATGTGTCTGTAGGCTGGATTTCCCTGCTTTCTAAGCTCTCACAGGTCTCCTCAATGCGTCCCTTCACCTCACCTCACACAGAAACAAATTATTTTTTCTGTAACCAGGAGGCAACACTGTCATGGCTGGGAGGCTGGCTGCTGGCCATCTCTCTTCTTAATCAAGATGGTACAAGGGAAGGGAAGCTGGCAGCACAGTGGTAGCAGCCCTCAGCGCCCAGGGACCACTCAACCTAGTAGGAGAGCAAAGCCTACCTCTCTGACTTCGTGAAGCTGGCCGGGATACTGACTCTTGGCTCTTCGGGCAGCTGCAGGCGACTTGTGATGCGTGATTGTGACAACACCGGGGGCCCCCGTGCCGAGGTGTCTCTGGCTACAGGGAGACGCAGGATTGGGCGTTCCATGGGGGAGCAAAGTGAGACTGCGGCTTCGGGAACTTGGAGTCGTCTAGAATAAGCAACAGGTGTCAAAACTCAGCAACCGACCTGCAGAACACAGCTAAGGGTTGGCTTCCATTTATTTGGGACCCCTTCGCTTAATCTTTCCCCTTTGTCTATTTAGAGGGATGAAGGGATGGGGGAGGTACAGAAACACTACATGGCCCAAATCCCACACTCACTTAAGAGACAATGTCCGTTAACTATGCTCTGTGTTTCCTGCCCTACTCTATTAGCCATGAGAGGCTACTGAGTCCCCCCAAATGCCACAGACTCTTACGGATCTGTGCCTCTGCATAAATTAGCTCCTCTACCTAGAATGTTCTTCCCCTCACGCTGGCAAACTTCAGCTGAGTCTTAAGACTCAGTTCAGTTTCCTGATGTGTGAATCATCTCCCTGTCTGCCTCAGCCTCCCTGCTGCTCCTATTCCACTACAGCGAGATTATATTCGTTGTACAGCTTACCTTCCTAAGAGATTTTTCCGAACTCATCTTTATATCCCTAAGACCTGGCACATCATGATTGTCTAGTTTATTAGGTACTTAATAAATGTCCGCTGCATAACTGAAAGTCCTCAGTTACCAACCAATTAATCCCCATTTGTTAGTGTACTGCTCGTATTTCATCCTAGAAGAATATATAATCCCAGTAACAATTTAGTATAGGATAAAGATGGCATTTCAACCTAGTGCAGATGAATTTTTTCAGTAACTGGTGTTGGGATGACTGGGCAGCCATCTGGAAAACAAAGTTGGATTCATCTCACAGATCATAGACCCCAAATCGATCAAAGATAGTAAGAAAAAAAAAAGCACAAGAAAACATGTAGCCTTGGGGTAGGGAAAGCCCAACACCTCAAAATCCAAAAGCCATAAAAGAAAAGCTCAACAAATTTGATTACCTAAAAATTTAAAACTTCTGCACAGGAAAAAACTTTAAAAACCCACTACCACAGGGGTGCCCGGCTGGCTCAGATGGAGGAGTATGTGACTCTTGATCTTGGGGTCATGGGTTCAAGCCCCATGTTGGGTGTAGAGATTACTAAAAATAAATAAATAAATAAATAAATAAACAAATAAATAAATAAACAAACTTAAAAAAAAAAAAAACCCACTTCCACCACCAACAAAGCCAAACAATAAATTAGGAAAAATATTTTCAACTTGTTTCAAAAGGCTCATCATGCTTGAAATGTTGGCATTCATATTAATTACAGATGTAATTCTATTTATCTTACTGTAACTCCGAAAATTGTAGTATTGTTGTCATGGAAATGTACGTTATTCATAATTAGGAATGGAAATCCTAGGGATTAACAAGAAACAGCAAACTATTAAAATGGGGCAAGACAGGAACACTGATCATTCACAAAAACAGATGAAGTCCTTAAACCATATGAAAACACATTCAACTGTCTTCATTAAATGTAAATTCAAGCCACATTTAGATACCATCTGTGGCCCATCAGATTGACAAAAAGCCAAAAGTCTGAGTACACTATCTGTTGACAGGATCACAGAGGAATAGGTTTGTGGCAGTGTAAGGTGACAACCCCCCCCCCCCCCCCCCCCCGCCAAGGAGGGCAATCTGGCAGTGCGTGTTGCAGTTACAAAGGCACTTTCTTGTGACCCACAATGTCCTGCTTGGGAATATATCCTCCAGTACACCTGCTCCCAGGGAAAAATGGCAGAGGTACCCACCACGAGCCACCGAAGAAGGATGTTAAATGGCAGAAGATGGGAAACAACCCAAAGGCCCATCAGTAAATAATGGTACACCCATGTAACCTAACACCACTAAAGCTGTGTAAGAATAACGAGAAAGGGCTCTATGAGTTGCTCTGTAAAAAAAAATCTCTAGAGAAGTGAAAAGAAAGCAAGGTGCAGAACTGTCACATAGTATGCAAAGTTCTGCATCAAAATGTGAAAAATGAGTATTTTCATTGTTAGTCACTCACAATTATTTGTTTCTTTTTTAAAGATTTTTAATTTATTTATTTGAGAGAGAGCACGAGTGGGGAGGAGTGGCAGAGGGAGAGGGAGAAGCAAACTCTCCACTGAGCAGGGAGACTGACGTAGGGCTCAATTCAGGTCCCTGAGATCATGACCTGAGCCAAAGGCAGATGCCTAACCAACCATGCCACCGAGGCACCCCTAAAATTATTTGTTTAAACCAGAAAAATATTCCAGAAGAAGACCCACAAAACTAAAAAAGTGGCTACTTGTGAAGAAGCAGAGAATAAAAGAGGAACAGAGAGGAAGGGAGTTTTTTGTTTTTTTGGGGGGGGGGGGGGTTGCCCAAAGGGTTTTTTATGTTCTTTCATTTTGAACCATGTGAACGTATCACTTAGCCAAAATTTGTTCAATTCTACATAAAATTTCCATTCTAAATGTTCCTATCCTTCACTCCAGCTTGGGAGAAGGCAGTTACAGGATATGTTGACTCAGGCCACCTTCTGAATTTCAGGGATCAAATATTTACTGAACACCTACTGCGTGCCAAGGAGAATATGTACTGTATGGTCTCAAGGAGAAACAGGAGAAGTACAAGACAGTCTTTCAGCATAGATGCTTATAATATTGCTGAGGATAGAAGATACACAGAGACAGAAACACATATATGCACGCGCATACACATGGAGTAAGAAAGTGCAGAGCAAGGTGTTAATTTGGCAATACAGCCAGAAAATGCCAAAGAAGTGAGGAAGAGCAAGATCTGCTAGAGCTGACCTCATCACTGCAGGCTGCTCTGAGAGTGAAGGACCTGAAGCCTGCGCAGGACTGGGGGAGATACAGAGATAGGCAGCCGAGTACAAATCAACCCCGACAGTCAGCACCTTCAAAGCGGTCTTAGCCTCAGGCCTCGGGTAATAGTCAACAGCTCTCAAAGCTGTTAAATGTTAACGATCTGTAATTGTCAAGGCTCGGAGGGGTTGGGAGTGGGGTGTGAGGCAGGGTAGAAGTCAGAACATTCTATTGCCCTACAACATCAGAGGAGCCTGTAAGCGTTCTCTGGATTGAACTTCCGAGATAATTAATAGGAAGACAAAGCCTGAAAGCAGTGTGTTGCTTTTAAATAACCTTATATATAGGCAACTGGAGAATTTTTCGTCTAAGAATTGCATATACCTTGATCACAATGAAATACATCTACTTTCTGCTTCAATGTTTTCACTTGGAGTGTGGAGGATGAAAGAAGCTATTTCTTTAATCCTTTAATGACAGTGAATTTGCCTAAGCATTAAGAGTCTACTGAAGGGCGCCTGGGTGGCTCAGTTGGTTGAGCAACTGCCTTCAGCTCAGGTCACGATCCTGGAGTCCCGGGATCGAGTCCCACATCGGGCTCCCTGCTCGGCGGGGGGTCTGCTTCTCCTTCTGACCCTCTTCCCTCTTGTGCTCTCTGTCTCTCATTCTCTCTCTCTCAAATAAATAAATAAATTCTTTAAAAAAAAATAGTCTTAAGTCTTTCTTAAAAAAAAAAAAAAAAGAAAGAGTCTACTGAAAAACATTTTGATTGTTTGGGAGGCTTATTCCAACCCAAGAAAAGGCAGCTTTTTCACTGGGCTTTTAAGACACACAGCCAAGGTTCCCTCCCCCAGCTGTACCAGGTTCTAGCTGTGCTGACTTCATTTGAGTTATTTAAGCTTTCTTATTAAGCATCAATTACCTAATCTTTAAAAAAGGAATAATAATATTGACCCTTAAAAGCCATCATGAAGATTAAATTAGATCGTGCACATAAAACGCTTAGCACAGTAGGAAACTGTGTGGCCAAAGTTTGTTTCTTTCCCTCTATCACTTAAAACTTGATCGATGAAGGCCTTATTGATTTTTCAAATGTTAAGAAGTCACTTAGTTCAAAATCATAAGCAGTGACTGACCTCCTCCTCATTTATTTATTTATTCATTTATTTTTACAGGATCAAAGTGGTGATGAAGTCCAAAATATAATTAAATACTTACTGGAGAGCCTATATGGTCAGCCATTACATTGCAAGATTATAGGGGGAGAAAACAATTCTAGATGCTGAGTAGAATGAGAACGCATTTGAAATCAGAGAGGAAGACAACTCTGGCGAAGAGGCACCTTAGCTTGGAGCACTACCACTGTAAATGGTAATAAATCAAGAAAACTCGCCCAGGAGCCCAATTATTCCACTGTGAGTGTCTAACCTCATGATTATTACTTAATGGCTGTCACTTGAATTCACAAGCAGTAAATTTGAGTTGAGAACCTTTAATTTCCCATTAACTATGGGACTCTCACGGCTTAATTCACACCAGTGCCTCCTCTCAGGGTAAATATGAACAAAAAGCCTCACTCTTGGTACACTCCGTAGGTCATCAGGCTCCAGGAGAGAAAAAGGGAGACCAGCCAGCAAACTACAACCACTAGGAACGAGAAGGCTCTCTTTCCGCAGGCGGCCTGTCTAAAATTCCCAGGTTGTGTTTTTTAAATTGTGTTTAGCTATCACACCACTCATCCCCGCTACTATTTTATAACAAAACATTATCCAGAGTTTGAGGAACAACAGGGCAGGTTTTTACTCCAAATATTTATGTCAGGGAGGGTAACTAGAAATGTCAAGTGCGCCATCTGTGAAAAACTCGGAGTCAAGAGTAACTGTTTCTCTCCGGGAATAAGATTCACCCTTTACCTAAGAGAATCAGCCCTTGTGTCCCCTCTACCAAACAGCGCCGGCCTGACAAAGAAGAGAAAGGGGTCCCAGGTGAGACAGAGTGCTGATGCTCAGACCCTGCCCAGACATTCAACATGCGGTAGGGTTTCTTGGTATTTACAACCTCTTGGTTTCTCCTACTTACTTCCCCAGATCCCTGAAATGTCCCAAGTTTGCAAGGAAGACACGTACACATACTCTGTACTTACTGGCTAAAACGGGCATGAAGGAGAGGCATGACTGAAAAGAGGGAGAATGCACCTGAAAGAATACATCCAGGCAGGGAAATCAAGCAAGGAGCCGAGAGATACGGTCCAGTCTGGGAAGCTTA